TTGGCACTTGAGCGTTGCACAACCGCAGTTCTCTGAAATGGCAAGGGAGACTTAAGGAAGTGCTGTGTGATTGCCCAGAATAGAAACTGGCTGGGGCCCGGGCGTTGGGAACCTGAGGTGCCAGACAAGCGGTACCGAGAGCTGCGGTGCGAGTGTGTGCCTGAGCCCTGGGCACGGCCAGCCACTGACTACACTTCACTCCTGCTTGGAGACCAAAGAAACCCCCATGCAAGGCTGAGCACTTGCCCCCATCAGCCCATTGCTCAGTCCTTGGTAACGCACATTTTTATTTGCTTTGACCAAAGCTTTGGTTCTGAACGTGGGCTGGAAAATTGACAGCAAAAGAAACCAGCAAAGAGAGGGCTGCTCCTGGAAGGCTCATGTCCTCGGCAGGGCCTTTAATTGCCAGCACACACGACCTTCCTCCTTCACTGGTTTGTGGCCAGCTGCGAGCCTGCGGGGCAGCGGGGTGAGGGGTGGCGGGCAGGGGAGCAAGGCACGGGGCCCACGTGTGCATCGCTCCGTGCCGGGCGTTGGGTCTCTGAGAGCAGTTGGTGGCTGGCGAGACCAGTAACTTGGAAACGGCCGATAAAGTTCCTAGTTAACGTGCAACATCAGTGCTGATAACGCTGGATTTGCGAAGAGACGGTCACCTGGTACACGTTACATAAACTCGGGCGCTCTGTGAATAGAGCGTAGCAAGCTGCTCCGTCGCGTTGCACCAGGCGCTGGCCCCTGACACGTGGGGCTGACCTTTCCTTCTCTCGATAGCCTGCCAGCATCCAACAGTGACAAGCTGTCGGGGGCTTTATCAGGTTCAGACCCCATAAATAGTGCTCTGCGCACTGGGCCATGTGTCAAGGGTGAGGGGAGGGCAGCCTGTCCTTCACTAAAGGGTTAGCGACGCGCTCCCCTGGCACAGATGTACCTATGCCAGGACTCTGGAGCATGTGAGTTACGGGAGCACATCATTCCCTTGGGCGTAGCTTCCTGCCGGATGCAGCTGCATTCCTCGACTCCAGCTGTGGCCAACACTGTCCCGGGACACGGGCTGGGCTGGGATGACGAGCGCTCTGGAGCTGCTCAGCACAGGGCTGCTGGTGGCAGCACCCTCTCGGGCAGGCTGCCACGAATGCACCAGCTCGGCACGCGTGAAGCAGCAGGGTCAGAGCTGCGGCCCCGTTGCACGCTCAAAATGCAGTCCCATGACGCAGCACCGCAGTTTCCTCTGCCACCAAAGGCCCAATCCTCTCTCCTTTTCTCTCTCGTGCAGCCATGGAAACAAAGAGGCGTTCTCCTGCCGGGGCATCCTGCTGGCCGTCCAGTGGTTTTGGGACAGAGGACACAAGGATATCACGGTCTTTGTGCCATCCTGGAGGAAGGAACAGCCACGGCCAGACATGCTTATTACAGGTGGGGAACTAGAGACTGGCACTAAACCTCTAAGGTCGCCAGCGACCAGGGTCCGTCGGGCTAGTGGGTCACCGTCTGGCCAGCGAGGATTCCTGTCGCTAGCCCGTCCCCTCGTCTGCCCGGTCTGGGCACGTTCAGCAACAACATCCACCTCCTGGCAAGATGCTGCTAGCTTGGGCTCTGCCTCCGAGGACTAATGGTGCAGCTCCCCATAGAGACGGCTGCGCGGGGCCTTGCAGGGAAGGCTGATAGGTAGACGAGAGCAGGTCAAGCAGGCCCAGGCAGTGCTGCTTCCTGCCCTGCACTTGCAAGCAGCTGTGCTTCTGACGCCAGCCGCCCGGCTCCAAGGAGAAAGCCAGGCCTAGGGCAGGGCCCTACAAAAGCCCCACCCTGGCTGCTTCAGCCCCATCAATGGGAGGGGAGCACTATGTATTCGAGTCTCGCTGACCTCCAGCAGCACCTGGAGGCTCTGAGGATGAGGCCAGGGTTGTGCTAGGTGCTGTATAAGCATCCCGGGCCGTCCAGCTGCGTGTAACTGGAGCGCTATGGGTTTCCTCAATGCGGTCTCGCATTGTGGTGGAAGACTTCTGGGCTCGGGCATCATTTCATGGGGGTCGTGCTTCATTCCAGATCAGCACATCCTCCGTGACCTGGAGAAGAAGAAAATCCTGGTCTTCACCCCTTCCCGGCGGGTGGGCGGCAAGCGCGTGGTCTGCTACGATGACCGCTTCATCGTGAAGCTGGCTTTCGAGTCGGACGGCATCGTGGTGTCCAACGACACCTACCGGGACCTGCAGAACGAGCGCCCCGAGTGGAAGAAGTTCATCGAGGAGCGTCTGCTGATGTACTCGTTCGTCAACGACAAGTGCGTTCCCGTTCCCGTTCCCATTCCCGGGGGAGGAGGGCAGGGCCGTGGCTTCCAGCAAATGCCTGCGTGTCCGGGAAGGGGGTTTGGGTGGTGGCTGAGTGTTACACCGGCGAGGCGAGGCGAGGCGAGGCGAGGTGCTGGCGTGTGTGGGCTGTGCAGGGAGCAGACGGTGATGTCAGGTGAGCGCCTCGGGGAGGAAATGAGTCAGTCGGGGCTCCGTGCGCAGAGCCGTTCCTGGCCCGGGACCAGGCGCGGGGTCCAGACAGCGGCTGCCGTCTGCTCCTTGCTGAAGAGCCCGAGCCTGCGCCCGGGCCGGGCTGGCCCCCAG